AATGTTATCAAGTTTTAAAAATTGCCTGTTACCTCAATAAAGAGGTTTTTATTTTTTTTAATAAATGAGGTACAGAAAATCTGTCGCTAACTTGAGTCAAGTGTAAATATTTTATTGAGAGCTAATCATCAGTTCTGACTTTGACTGTGAGATCCTCCTATTGCCACAAAGACTTTTTTTGTACAAGGGGAAGTTATTTTATGAGGCATTCCAGGTTCCCATTTTTTCCTGGAAATGCCTTAGTTAAGGGTTAATCCCTTACAGCTGGGTCTCCAGTTCACTATCCCTGGCAACGCTTCCATGGCATGGGGCAGCTTCCTGGAAAGACCTTTTGATTCCACACTGTGGACCCCACAGATGCACTTAGCATGAATCAGATTGCCCCAAGCCCTCCCCTCTTCCTAATTTTCCTATTTCTGTCACCTCCCAATTTGCAATCTCAATGTCATCTTTGACTCCTTGCTCAAACTCACCCCACATATCCAATTTGTTTCCGAGTCTGTCATTACTGTCTTCACAACAACTCCTGTATATGTCCCTTATCTCTCCATTCAAATAGCTTCACATTGGTGAAAGGCTGGTCCAGGTGCCTCATGACTAGACAATAGCCTTCTGTCTGGTCTTCCTGACTAAAGTCTCTCCCCACTCCAGACCATTCTCCAGTCACTGGCCAAAGTTCTCTTCCAAAGCCATGTCATTTCTCTACTTAATAAACTCTGGTGGTTCTCTGTAACTTCTAGGATCAAATACAAAAGTGCTGTTTTAAAGCCCTCATCACCTGGCCCTTTTCTGTTTTTCCAACCTTCTTACCCTTCACTCCCTTCCATGGACTCTGGCCTCCTTGCAGGCCCTTGACATGATACTCTCTTGATCTACCCTGTGTCCCTTCACCAGCTGTCCCCCTGTACCTGGAATGCTCTCCTTTCTTCCTTCTGCCTCCTTGCTTCCATGGCCTCCTTCCCAGATTCAGTTAAAAGCCACATTCTTTAAGAGATTATTCCCTTCCTTCCTTCTCCTACTCTACCCTTGTGCCTTCCCTCTGTTTACAAGGCACATATCTTATATGTTATGTAGCTGTTGTATGTTGTCTCCCTCATAAGAATGTGAATACCCTGACGGCAGGGACTGTTTTTGCCATACTTTGTCTCCCCAGTGCTCAGCATGATGCCTGGTATATAATAATAATAATATTTATATGTAAATATAAAATAAATGTTTGTTGACTGACAGTCTCTTTCCAAACCGATTTACTCCCATTTTCATCACTTCCAATAAGGAGACATAATGACTAAACCTGTGGTCTAGCATTATTAGAAAGTGCTGGCAGGGTTTCTGGGGTTTGGTCTTTGACCCTGTTTGCATGGAGGGAGCAAGAATTTAGCAGCTAAAGTTCTATTTTTTCTCATGCCTAACGACAAGAGAGCAGGGGTGCTTCCTCCCTTTAGAAGGCTGTGAAGGAGGAGCAGGGTCCCCTCTCCCTTCCCCTTCTATCCTTCTCTTCCTCTCCCAGGAGCTGAGAGATCCATGTTTTTTTGTCCCAGCAGGCCTAGCTGGGCTTAGGTCAGGTATTAATTGTAATCTACTTTAATTGTCTTTACAGGAATCATTGTGTGCTTTCTATTTTTAGGATTATTTTTTAAAGATTTTATTTTTATTATATGGAAGTAATTATTGATAAATTTGTACACTACTGAGCTAATGATTCCCCCGATAGCCATATACTTGGTAGTTCAATTTACATTCAGCTGATATGCTTAGTACAAAGCTAAAAATTCCCTCAGAATCTGTATTTTGATAATCCCCATTTAATACTTTCTTCTTTAGAGTAAAGCTATGTAGTTACTTTGGGGGTTCACTTTTGCTGATATGCTAAGACCAACATCAAAAATCTAGGAGTCCTGGAACCTCAAAAGATTTTGAGGTGCAACAGGAAATAGTTGGGAGAAAGTGTGGGGTGTTCCCTTCTGCTCCCGTCTCATTCCAAGTCCCTTCCAACCTAAAACAAAGAAACAACTTTTTGAAATGCTTCCCTCTGAAACTGAAACTACAAGAACAGAATGGTTATTGAACTTCTCAGGGCTTCTCCATCACGCCCCAGGAACCTCTTCACCCTAACAAAGATGACTTCCCACACTTCGTTAGTTCCCTTTGCTCCTGGGGCCCCTTCCTTGGATTGGAAGGTGGAGAGCTCCTCCCAGAACCTCCCTTTAGGAAGGGCAACCAGGTCAGCCACCCTTGCATTCCCTCACACCCTGCACTGTTCTCCATCATGCCCCCATGACCTTTTCAGTTCTCTTTTGTGTGTTGTCTTTTCCCATTAGAATGGAAGTTCCTTAAGGGCAGGGACTCTCTTTCTTTTTTCTATTTGTATTTCCAGAATTTAGCACAGTGTCTGGCACATAAGTTGTTATTCACTTGTGTCTGACTCTTCATGAGCCCATGGACCACAGCGCCCCAATACTGTCCATGGGGTTTTCTTGGCAAACATACTGGAGTCGTTTGCCATTTCCTTCTCCAGTAGATTAAAGCAAACAGAGGTTAAATAGTTTGTCCCAAACATTTAGTGAATATCTGAGGCTGCATTTGAGGTCTTCTTGACTCCAGGCCAGCGCTCTATCCATTGCGCAATCCAGCTGCCTCACCTGGCACATAGTAAGTGCTTAATAAATGTCTGCTGGTTGATGTGTCTTCTCAACTGGACTATAAACATTTTGAGTTCAGGGACTATGTTTTGTTTTGTTTTTTTAATTACTCTTACTTCTTACCTAGCATAGTACTATACACCTACTATGTACATCTTTCTTGGGAAAGATACCGAAGTGGTTTGCCATTTCCTTCTCCAGCTCATTTTACAGATGAGGAAACTGAGACAAATAGGGTGAAGTGAATTATTAGAGGTCACACAGCTAGTAAGTGTCTGAGGCCAGCTTTGAACTCAGGAAGATAAGTCTTCCTGACTCCAGGCCCAGCATGCTATGCAGTATGCCATCTAATTGCCCTAAAATACTTGTAGAATACAACAATTTAGGGGTATTCATGTTAAAAAGCCATTATAAACTGTGTTTTATTGGAAAAATAAGAGCTTTTCCTACTGATGAAACATTTTTGGTGAGATGGTTAAGAGGACAGGCTATGATGGGCACACCGCTACACTACCAGGTTGCTCAATGACATCATTATTTCCTGAATCTGGGTGCCTTCTCATTTGAAGTACAATTTTTCAGACTAGCTAAGAGTAAGAAGAAAATGCTGAATGGGTAAGACTCAAGAAAGAAAAAGCAAATAACCAATTCTATAAATAAAAGCTAGTCCCTTCTTTCTATGAGGACAAAAGCAATTTCTAGAAATGTTGGGAATAACTGTTTTCACCATCTTCCCAGGCACCATTTCCAAACTATGCATCCCACACGCTCTGACCAACGTGGCTATCTGCCCCTCCCCCACTTTATCAGAACCTTTGATTCTGCCCCAGGGATCAACCTAGGCTCTGGTAGGTAAGCCCTCATTTTTCCTGCCTGGAACCAGGCCTCCATAGTCCTCCCCAGAGACCATTTCCAAACTATGCCACCATGTATGTATTCTCTCACCCCTTTTCCAACTTCCCTTTATGCGCTGTCTTCTGCCCATTAGAACATAAGCTTGTTGAAGACAAAGATGGTCTTGCTTGCTTGTATTTGTATGCCCAGTGCTTTGTTTTACCCATGTACTTCTGACTTTTCATCACGTAGATTATACATAAATGAAAAACCGTATGGACTAGCAGACTGAGGGCTAGCCTTGAAGTTAGACAGTCACAGATTGAAGTTACATCTCTGACATATTAGCTATGTGATCATGGGAAAGTCCCTTGACCTCTCAGACTATACATTACTGCTGAGTTGCCAATCTGTAATGACAGAGGGAGCTTCCACACCAATGAAATCAAAAGTCTAGACAATTCCAGCCCTTAGACAGAAACTTTATACATAATGTAAAGGATGAATGGGAAATTGATGGATTTGCCCTGATAAAATATGGAGGAAGAAGGACCTGGACAAAATTTCCTCTCCTGTTGCTAACACTTTCAGTTGTACCTTCACTTGAATAACCTCCAACAGCAGTCTTGACAATGCATATCTGAAAAGCAGGGAGGTGTCTGATATTGAAGTCTTTTCTGTAAGATGTCTTTTGAATCTCCCATGACTACTGACAGCTAAAGCAGTTTGATACCTCGGAAAGAAAGGCACTGAATTGTTATTCTTTAAACGGAACTGGGCTTGTTGCTAACACAGTCCATGACACAAACAAGTCCTTCCTTCTGTGGCCCACCTGTCTTCTAAGTACCAATGAGCAGAGTACACTGCTTGGCATCTCAGGAGCTGACTGAATGTCCGTAATATTGTAAAAGGGTTATTATATGAGATAGGTGGTTACATGAGACCTCGTAGAAAGGTCCCTTCCAACCTAAGAGTCTTGACTTTCCAGGGCCTCCCTCCCTCACTTCACATGATTAATTCTTGGATATCCTCCCACACCGATTGTCTCCCACTGTTACACTTTGTTGTTCATATCTATAGACAGAGTTTTCAAAGGGAAGCAGAACTCTAAAGTTGACAGCGTTGTGGGAAAGGCCAAGATTAAGTCAGGACATGTAGCTAATTTATTTATGGTACTCCTAGGGATGCTAAATGCCACCTGAACCCTTATCCTTTGTACAAAACTTCCAGATTCACAACAGGTAAGATACTTTACAGAATTTCAGCTGGCATCAGCGTACCCTTAGAGAATGTTTTTCTGGCAGCCACACCTGGCAGTTGGTGGTTTGGGAGAAGGAGCGGGTGAGGAGGTAGACACTAGAGAGGTTCCAAAGCAGGGGGTTCCGTGGAAGTGGGTCACGTACTCTTAGAATCAATAAGCCAATGCATTTCTAAGAGCATGTTTACTTCTTTCACCAGAAGGAAGACTTTTCTTTAAGGTAGGAGTCACATTCTTAATCCTACTTCACGTATGACTAGTTTTACCTGGTCCAAGTCATTTCGCAGAGCGATTTTGCTGGTTACAAGTTCATGAGCAAGGTCATCATTCTCTTGTTCTAGCCGCATGCTGGCTTCCTGTAACCTCCGGTTCTCCCTCTGTGAAAAAAGAGCAATAGCCAGAAGGCTGTGAATACCTGTCCAGACTAGCAGACATTTAGACCAGCAGCTAGGGGAGGGGTGGGAGTGGGGTAAAACAAGGGGTGAATCTTAGAAGTGAAGGTAGGAGAAGGCAGAAGTGGCACAGTAAGGCAGGATTGCTGTTCGGGGGAAACAACAGTGAGTTAAGCCAGCGGTGCAGATGCAGTACTCTACCCAGCAAAATTCACAACTCCCCAGTACGCCCTCAGATGAAATGCACTGCCTTGAAAGGAAAATTCTTCCAGACGTGTGTATTCTCAGCTCTAAGGTTTTACCTCACTACGTTTTAATATAGATTTAGAACCTACATGTGGGCCAGAAACACAGAGAAGAATCAGTTCTTCATCCTCAATAGGAAACTGCAGGCCACGGTAGCAGAACTGGAGAAAATATTAAGAGATACTTCTAATCTTTTTTTCAACAATAGGGCAAAAATCAGTCATGTTTTATTCAGACTATAAGCCTGGGAGTCAAGATACTCAGGTTCTGTTACAACTTTGGAAGTAACTCATAACTGTGACCGCTTGGAACAAGCCAAGTTAACTTTTCTGGACCCCAATTTCACTGTCAAATGGAAGCAATAGTATTGAAGATAGTATCTGAATGGCAAGGAAATCATCAGATGAAAAGCACTGTATAAATGTAAATTACTGGGCTAGATTCCTCTAGGTCATTACTAGAGACCTCTCTGTTAAGTCAATGAGAACACCATTAGCAAAAGAGATGGCTAAGAGATCCCACCCCATTGAAAAAAGCAAAGTCCTCAGAAGCTTCCACTCTTCTGTAAAGACCCCTAGAAATACTCTATCAATAATTCAACTATTTATCTTATAATTCTTTCTATTACTTATGGTTCTAAAAGATATAAACTTAAATCTTTTTTTTTTAAAAGAATAACAATTTGGTGCCTTTCTTTCCGAGGTATCAAACTACTTTAGCTGTCAGTAGTCACAGGAGGTTCAAAAGAGATCTGACAGGAAAGACTTCAATGTAAGACACCTTCCTGTTTTTCAAATATGCATTGTCAAGACTATTTTCTGCAAGACAGGCAAAAATTCAAAGGAGTAAAATCTATGGCTCTGGGAAATATTGCAATAGAGGGAACTGAATAGAGCACTAGGAAAGATGCTGTTGTTTGTGGACCTCGTTTCAAAATAAAAATAAAACAAACAAGCCAGAGAGCTCAATCAAGTAGGTGACTGCGTGATGCTCCTAAGTGTATGTCAAACAATCTCATGCATACTGAGGACTAAGTGCTGATGGGTAGGCCACCCCTCCAAAGGCTCCACTTGGGGTCTTCCTAAGACTTAGAGTCTTTCCACTTTCTACCATGAGTTGTACAGAAGATAGTGGCAAATTATGGGCAATTATTTTAAGAACAACACTTAAAAATTTTTATGTTGATAAATTTTTTGGGGGGGGGGAGTCCCAGAGAAACTTCTTTATAAGAGCATTCTTTCCCTTTTGAAGGTGACTTCCAATATAGAACGCACTGTATCCTCTGGAACAAAATACAGTGTAACAGCTTGTAATCAAGAATAAAGTATTGGCTTGCCAATAAAACTTTCCAAGACACTCCTTAAATGAAAAAGTTTACCCACTGGTAGATCAGCTTGTACCCAAAAGTAAATCTGTCTGTCCCTTCAGTGGAGTCTTTCAACCTTATCCCACCCTCCTAACAGAAACATGAAGAAACAGTTTGCATGTCACAGAAAAACAGAATCAGTGTCCTCTGTCACACCTTTCTAAATTCTACAAGAGACAACCAAATTGTACGCAAAGGCCAGACAATCCTGCTTTCAGTACCCCTTTCTGGCAACATCTTTTCTACTGGCTATGAGCTATGTGTGGGGACTTTTCTGAAGTTGTTTTTTTTTTCTTAACAAGTTTTCTTAGGGCCAGGAAACAGGTATTTTGCAAACAACTAGCATTCAATTTCAACAGAATTTGTTGTGCAACATGGGTTGCGTGGTAAAGGAACTTTGTAATTTCTTTCATTTTGGTGCGTTCCTTTCACATAGTCTAAGAAAGGACTAGTCTTTTATCTCGGCTAAATGACTTCACTACAGCTTAAAGCATTCTTGTATAACTGTCTCCTCAGCACACAAAAATCCCCCCAACCACATTTATATTATACTGACTGGACTATAAGGAACAACGACAAGTTTGCAGCCACTAGGGTTCTTCAGGTTACACTGTAGAAGTGAGTCCAATGAGTCTCCGGCTAAAGTGGCTGAATGTTTTCCAATCAATATTTGGTCCAAAACATTCCTACAATGTTCCAAGGTGACCAACCACCTGACTTTGGGTCAGAGATCTGCTGACAATGTTTTTTGTTGAACAACAACAACAAAAAGATGGTTCAGCTGTAATCCTGGCCAGAAGTAGGAACTGCATACTAAAGTAATTACCAGAATTGTAATAATCCTTCTTTACAGGAGTACAGACTAGAGAAAGATCTTAGAGAAACCAGGAATGTCAGACGGCCCCTTAAGATAGGTACAAAGTAATGGTGAGGGGGAACTGGCCCTCTCTGCAAGAAGCTTCAGTTCAGTGTCTGCAAAGCAAGCCGCACAACGTGAGGTCTCAGGCTCCTGCTTCACTCACAGACAAGTGGGAAAGCAAGCAAAGTGGCTAAAAATGCAGTGTCCTCCTCCTCCTCCTCCTCCTCCTCTTCCTCCTGCAGGGATCTTACAAAAAGGGGAGACTATCTGTTATGCTAGTGAATAAATCACTGCTACCGAAGAGAGGGTCATCTCCAAAGCCAAAGAAGCCGCCTGACCCTCGCTTCCCACAGAAAGCCATAAGCCAAATGGAATAAGGCTGCATTACTGGGCAGGCTGTCACGGCCCCTCCCGCAGAGGAGCTACCACGGATGGATTCCTTGGGATAAACCTCAGGGTTCTACAAATTAAAAGTGGACTCAAAAGGAAGGGAAGAGAGTTTCATTTTGACGTATTTCAGAAAGCTTTGTCTAGGTCATTCTGAAACCTGGGCAAGGAATCTCTCTTGCTATACCCAGAGAGTGATTCTGAAGATTTCGTTTGATAGCCAAGGGGTGCGTTTGTTTTTGTGGGAGCACTCTATAATCTTGCACAAGCAGACGAGTCAGACTTGCTGAATGCTCAGAACTGGTAAACAGACAATTGCTTCCTGCTCCCTCTCTGAAGAGACTGCAGTAGGCACTGCATTTCTAACATTTACAATTCTCACTTGGCTTGAAGCACCCTCCAATATCACTTGGCCGACAGCCTCTGAATCCAAAGGGTAGTCTTTTCCTCCTGGATTCCCTTCCCCTGCTCTTCCATAGGGGAAGGATGTACAGCTGGGAAAGTTTGGTGAATAACTTTGGAAGGAGGATACTGCATTTTCTAAAAAGACAGACACGAATATTACAGACATACACAAATGAAAAACTTACCTCCTGCAAAGTCAGAGACCAACTACTGTTTTCAATCATAGGTACAAAAATAATGGAAAAAGGATATCCAATGAAATTTAAGTGCCTACTAATAAAATTAGGAAACAGCACAACAAAAGAGACACTTGTTAATTCTATTTTGTTAATTTTTTATCCTTAGAGCCTTCTGTATGACAGCAAACATTTGGTGAAAGAAAGCTGACTTGAGAAAGCCAGTGGGCAAGTCCCAACTCAGGAAGACCGATAAACTCAAACTCCACCCTCTCCATGATGCTATTCTCAGCTTGCATGACGGATGAATATGTTTGTACATAGGATGATTAGTAGTCATGGTGTAAGTTGTTTCCACTGCTTCATGAAAGCTGGGTGGGACTCATTTACATGTACAGTGTCAGAAACCTTACAAAATAGCTAATCTTCAAGCAACAGAGGGAGATCTCAGTGCACAAAGAGCTGCTTGGCGATGAAAAAAAAAAGCAAAAAATTTGTTCAGATTCCCATTTGTGTCTGTCTGTGGGCTAAGGTCTGGATGAGGCAGGACAAGGAATTATAATATAGTTAGTTTCAGGATGAGAAACTTGAGAAATGTTCACTAGCAACCAAAGGAAAATGTGGTAAGGTTTAAAGGGAGAAAAAATCATCTAGAGGAATGAGGTTTTAGAAACCCAACTCTGTTTTGGGTGTGTTGTCTGCTGCTATGATGAATTCTTGGCACATAGATTTAAGTGACTTAAGGGTCAGGAAAAATGCTTCTCTAAGTGAGAAGCATAATTTTATTAGCAAGTATATACTCTGCTAGCAAACATTTCCTTTTTTTATATCTCGCTTTTGAAAAAATAAGTAACCAACAATATTGACATTTTGAGCTGACAATCTCAAGGCACACAAGGACAAATGTACCCAGATGACATATTTTAAAATTCTACACAATCTGAAAAATGAAGACTTAAAAATAACAAGTTTTCATTTTTGAAGCCTTAGTCTAAGACCATATGTGGCAATTTCCTCCCTTTCTTTGCCATATTCCCTAAGGAGATCTCTTACATTGAATTTGAACAACAGTTTCTGATCTTTTCAAAATCTCAACAATAAAATTAAATGACAGTTGGCAACCCAGACTGCATTTCTTTTTTGCAACTCGAGACCATCTTTGGAAATACCAGCTGATTCTCCAACATGAAAATGAGATTAAAATAAAATAAACAAATTTCATAGGTGTTACAGAAACCTGTTATGGTGATGCAAATTTCTCACTGATACTACTGCAACAATGAACTATATATACTAAAGATAGAAGATTAATTCTGAACCAAGTCTTTCTCTAGATGAAAGACACAGGAAATGGCACCTAGAGGCCTTGTTACTTTTATACTACAATCAGCTGACAATGTTTCAAGTGTAGGCATGACCTGGACACCAATTCTTTAGCTAAGGTCTTCAGACACTTTATGTGGTTTGGGCTTGGCATTTCTCTGCATCCAAAAATACTCAAATTCATTAAGTTCTTTAATATCAAAGGGAACGTGTGTCAATTTCT